ATTTATTTATTTATTTACAATATTTTTAGCCGCACCATTGCCAGTGGCTTCTCCAATTTCTCCTTTGGAGCTGGTCCCTTTAGAACCCCTCTGTGCCTCAAACTGCATCCTTCTTGCCTGATTTCTGCTTCCGACCTCTATAACATCTTGTACTGGCATGATACCCTCCACATATGAAGCATTCATTCCAGTAACAACACACCTTCTTGGAGCACAATCCCTTTGAATCGAATTCCCAGCCAATCAGGTAGGATAGAACCATCTTTCCCACTTCCCAATAAGGAATATTAGCTTGGCCTGCTTTCCAGATAAGATGTCGGCTATCAAACCTCTCACCCTGAGCCGTTCGGGCTTATGTAATCATGTGAAGCCAAAGTGCATTAATCTGAGTTAGTATCTTATTCCAGATTTATATACCTGTTCCAATAGAAAAAGCTGTTGGACTGATCCGATGAGGTGCAATTCCTCTGTCAGAAAAGAGGTTGACTGGTACCCTTCAAATATCTGAGGCAACCTACAGAGGTGGAAGTGCAGCTTCTTGTAAATATTGAAATGGAATTTGACCATAAATGGCTAGATAATGTTTGGCTTCTCCTCCTCGATCCACTCTTTCCTCACCTTTCAATCCCATTTGTATTGTTTCCTTTTTCAACTAGCTTCACCCGTTCCTGCAAAGGTTGTCATTTAACGACTCAGAGGGAGAAAGTGTGTCGTTTAATGAGAAAAGGGAAATAGGGGGTGGATTTGATATCATGAACGTGGTCATATACCCCAATAACTCTTTCCATCAAGTGAAAATTGGAAGGGTGATTCCTGGTGATGTTGAAGGAGATGAAGTCGTGATTGATTGGGATAGAATTGTGTGGCACCGAGGCTTTAATGAGGTATGGATTATGGAGGGGTCCTTCCCTAAGACGGTCATGTTGGTGAATGAAGTTTCCTTTGCTTTCAGATCCCTTCAACATGGTGTTTTGGCCTCTAAAATAGACAACGGGTTCTGGGACCATGGGCTAAGCTTCCTGCAAGAAGGACTGCTAGCAAGATATGGCTTGCACCTCAGAAGGACTGGAAATAATGTCTTTGGCCACAGCATGTATAACGTTGGAAGGCTTTGAACAGAATTGGAGGGAAGAGGAACAGACCAAACTGTTGAAATAGGGGTCAATAATAACATTAATAGTAATATCCATTAAAATGTACAAACAGGCCAGAAATCATGCAGTGATTATGTACGAATGCCAGGAGTATGGGAAGCAAACATGGACTGAAAATTTCAATTCACGAGGGCAAACATGACTTGATAAGAATAACTGAAATTTGGCGGAATTACTCCCATGACTGAAATGCAGGAATTGAAGGGTGTAGCTTGTTCATAAAGAACAGAGAGAATAGAAAGGTTGGTGAACTGGAAGTTGAGTAATAACAACTGGAGTTCTTTCTTAGGAAAGAAGGTCATTTGCCATGGCTCGTCATCTTCCATATAACCACCCCTGGATGACGGAGAATCTTCACAGATATAAAGGGAGGAGAAGTTGCAGTAAATGTAAAAAATACACATTCAGAGAAATAGAGGAGGAACACTTTTCAAATACTTGGAAGGCTGCCATGTACAAAAGGGGCAGGATCTGTTCTTGATCACCCCAGAGTGTAGGACACGCAACATTGGGGTCAAGTTACAGGAAATTGAGATTTAGGCAGAATATTGGGAAAAGCTCCCTCTTCCATCAGTAAGAGATTGGAATCCATTACCTTGAGAGGTGGTGAGTAATCCAGCCCCAGAGGGATTCTAGAGAAACCACATGACATATATCCTTTGATTTGTATTCCTGTATTGAGCAGTGGGTAGGACTTCATGGCCTAACAGGCCCCTTCCAACATCACTTTTCTATGATTCTATAAATTTTACCGAGCAATTTCCAAAATGAGATGCAACACTGACTTCGTAAATACAGGTTAAAAGGTAAAGCTTCCCCTTGATAATTTGTCCACTAGCATCTGACTCTAGGGGGCCGTGCTCATCTCCATTTCCAACCCATAGAGCTAGCATTTGAAGACAATCTTCCATGGTCGCATGGCCAGCCGACTAGACACGGAATGCCGTTATCTTCCCACTGTAGTGGTACCTATTTCTCTGCTTACGTTTATATGCTTTTTAACTGCTAGTTTGGCGGGAGCTGGCACAAGCGACGGGAGCTCCCTCCGTTGCGTGGATTCGATCTTACGACTGCAGGTTTTAGGAATATACTTATTCCTAAATAGAAAACAAGAATATTCTTACTGAGTTTTTTTTTAAATAGAAGTGAATATTGATTATGCATTTCTTGAGTATTGGTAAGTTATGAAGGGATCCAGAGGAGATATATTCAAAAGACCAGGGTCGGCTAACCTGGTTTCTGTAGGGTATTTGACTACGAGGAATATTAGATCTTTCTTTGAAATGACCCTTTTAAACTCTGTCTTTTTATTAACAGGTGCTTCCGGTTTCAGTTTGCAACGAGTACTGCCATCCCGGCTTTCAGATAACCTAGTTTCTGTAGGTCATTTGACTAGGAGGAATATTATATCTTTCTTTGAAATGACCATTCTCAACTCTGTCTTTTTATTAACAGGTGCTTCCCGTTTCAGTTTGCAATGAGTACTGCCATCCCGGCTTTCAGAAGAAAAGAAAGGAAGGTGAAAAGTTTTGTTGTTATGATTGTGTTCTATGCCCAGCAGGAAGGATTGCGAACCAGATAGGTGGGCGTTTCAATTTTTTTTCTTTGTTATATAAAGATAATTGAATTTCTTAGGTCAGAGTATTACAGTAGTCTATTTTGGAGGTTAATAATCTATCGAGCTCTGTTGTCAGTCCTTTTGTATAATGGGAAGGGCACAGCTGGGCAATCATTTCCTTTAGTTAGTGCAACTGAAGTAAAAAGATTCAGCCTTCTATTCTCCTCAAGCACGGCTTTCTCTACAGTTGGCGATGAAGAGTAGAATCAAAAGTCATCAAGGAATCAGTTAGTGCAACTGGAGTAAGAAGATTCAGCCTTCTATTCTCCTGAAGGACGGCTTTCTCTACAGCTGGTGATGAAGAGTAGAATCAAAAGTCATCAAGGAATCAGTTCCTCCTGAGACCTTTTGTGCATGGAAACCCTACATGACAGTAGACTTCAGTGTTTGAGTTGAATTCCCTCTGCATTGGCTATAAGACAGCCTATATTTGTATTTTATTATATTTTAGTTTCTTTTATCTTTACTTTCAATGACCTGTTCTTCTGTTTCTTTCTTCAGATATGGATGACTGTTTCAAATGTCCAGAAGACGAGTATCCAAATGAAAACAAAAATGGATGCCTGCCCAAACTTGTCATCTTTTTGTCTTATGAGGAGCCTTTAGGGTTGAGTTTATCCTTGGTTGCTCTCTCTTTTTCCCTGATCACAGCCTGGATCTTAGGACTTCTCATGAAGCACAGAGACACCCCCATTGTCAAAGCCAACAATCGAGACCTCACTTACACTCTCCTCGTCTCTCTCCTTCTCTGCTTCCTCTCATCTTTGCTCTTTGTTGGACAACCGAGAAAGCTGAGCTGCCTCCTCCAACAGCCGGCCTTTGGCATCATCTTTACAGTGGCCGTTTCTTGTGTCTTGGCGAAAACCATCACCGTGGTTGTGGCTTTCATGGCCACCAAACCAGGATCCAACATGAAGAAATGGCTGGGAAGAAGGACA